TCATATCGTTGGTCAACACATAGGGTGTGCTGTTTTATTCTAGACACCGCTTAAGAGCTCTTTTAGTCTAATAACCGTATAATTTTTTGTTTTCACAGAAGGACATTCATACTCGGCAGGTTTTTTTTGAAAACGGTCTTCATCCGGCAAAAATGTCTCAACACAAAGTTCTCACACCGATTCGATCTGATAAAAAGACACTGTCTAATAGAGAGTCTGCGAAAATCAGCCTTTCTTTGAACGCAAAAATCACTCACTTTGACGAACAATGTGAACCATCAGATGATGCATTTGTAAATCAAATTAAAAACCAAACTACTTGTGCTTCGACGACAAAGAAACACAGCAAAATAACGACTAACGTAAAAAATCATTTTAACTACGAGCCAATTGAATACTACGACCCATTTTTTGAGGACCCTGGAATTTACGACGATGCTCGTCGACTTTCGAATCGGTTTGAAGCAAATCAGGTGACTTGTTCCCTTGATCCAAACAAGTGGACGCCATGCAGTTCTAAGAAAGCACTGAAGAGCTCGCAAAAGCCAAAAGCGGATACAGGTAAAACAAAGAAAGGAACTAACCTCTCAGAGGCCTTTGCCAAGTTAGTCACTGAATCGTCGTCGTAGCGACACTGAATTGCGCCAGTATTCGCGGTGACCATCACCACTTCCTATCTCATCGATTGATCAATGCTTTTATTTGACATTTGTCACTCGTCAATCAAGCGGCATACACTCTTTTATTATATGAATTTTTGTACTTCTGTGTAAATAAATAAAAAGGTAAAGACCACTCTTTCAAGTACAAATATTTCCTGGGCGTACTTTCTTTGTTGCCTGTTGCTCTCCTGTGCTGGGTCATTATCTAATCTGCGCTACAAGAGTTGTGAACAAGAGTAGCCATTAATAGACACAGTGCCTAAATAAGTGACTAAACAGTCATGTCTCTTATTGGGCTATTTTTCGACTTTGCTTACTGTTCATTGGCAGCCATTTGTGTCACCTTGCAGCTTATTAGCAGCAGTGTATTCTTTCACTGGTCGCTTGCTTGGTGGCGGCCACTTGAGTTATATAAAAAGGCACAGCGGTGAGCTGGGGAAAGCACAGTCGACAAGTCCTCCACTGCTGCCTGCTACTTGAGATAAACCTAGCTTTATCAGTTTACATATTTCCCAAACATGAAGCTGTCCATTTTCGCATTTCTTCTCGTCATTTTGGGCGCCATCTGCTCGACCAGTGCTAGCCATCACTATAAGAAGCCGCTGAAAATTGTGCACAAGTGGAAGCCTCACTACGGTCATGGGTACGGTCACGGACACGGTTATCACGGAAAGAAGGTGGGCTACAGCAAGCGATATCAGCACATGTCCCATGGCAAACACTACAAACACTACTAGCCACTCTCACCAGTTGCTCTTTCCTATTTATCAAACGGTTTCGGGTCAACTGTACAATAGGGGCTTTCCTACTCACTACTTTGATTTCTCTAAACTTTTATTTTTTCAATACTAAATTTTCTTTGTTGTTTCAACACTTGTGCTTTGTAAATACCTAAATGACATGATTTATATTTAAAAAAAATAAATACTACTTATCATTTCTAGACATTTTTGTGTGTTTAAAATTTTGTTCAGACAAATATGATTCAGAAAGGGCTTTCTAATAACGGAATTTTATAACCCGTTTAACTTATTACACTTTTTGACGATGTGACACTTGAAAAAATGTACTATTTGTACGAGTTTACAAAACTTATGCAAACTCACTAGTTTTAAAACAATCACATCTTTAGAGTATTTATTTACTTTAAGATTAATTGGCACTTTATCGTGATATGAAACTGTCACCTTCAGTCACTTAACTTTCAAGGTTCAGCACGGATTTTCCGTTCACTTTGATTACTGCCTTTTGTTTTTGATAGCCGAAGTCATTGGCAAAGGTTAGATTAGACATGTGCAAGGGCACAGTGTGGCGGGTTAGTCTTCTTGGAGGAAAAAATGGTTGCCCATTACATCACTGGTTTGAGCGTGGTAGTCGTGTCTCGACAGTGGCGTCATTAGCATGCTTCGTACCACTCATACTTGACAAGGCCATACAGTGGTGGCAAAAGGGGCCGAACTGCGACAGTTGATCTATTGGCGTGTGGCCGTTTAAAAAAGAGCTTCCAGGCGGCTGTCTACTCTGCCGATATACTTCTATAGCTAGTATCATTCTTATTATTACTTCCACACATTGAAACATTTTTGCATACACACACACGCAGTAGTGTAAAAAGAAAGAGAAAGTAAGAGTAAGAAAAACTCATATTTGATTTTCACTTTCTCTCCTCATTGAAGTGAACTGCACCGGACCACTATAAATGCTTTGGTGTCTTCGATTGTAGACCACAAAGCAAACTTGGTCATTTTGCACTGTGTCTACTTTTATTTATTTGTTTTTTAACGCAATCTACTACAAATATGAAAACAACCTGTTTTATTGTTTCTTTTGCACTCTTTGCTGTGGCGTCGGTGCTTGCAGATTATGGCTACCATAAGCCGCTGGAGATTAAACATGTCTGGCACAAGGGAGGTCATGGCTACGACGGGCACAATGACGGCTACGGACACAAAGGATATGATCATGGAAAAACGCTAGTCGGCTATAGCCGAGTTTACCATGTAATGGATCACGGTGAGAACTTTGATTTAATTTTTGTTTTTATTCAATTTTGATGATTCGATTGAATATTCTTAGGGTATAATGGGCATCATGGCGGCCATTATGGAGGCGGTCATGGAAGCCACTATGGAGGTGGTCATGGAGGCGGTCATGGAGGAGGACACGACTACCACAAGGGCCATTCTTACGAAGGCCACTCAAATCACGGATACCACAAGTCCCCGTACCACACTGGAAGCCACGAACACGGATATTCAAAGGGTCACCACGGACATGATTACGGTCATGAAGGTCATGGGGGCCACAGTTACGGCCACTACTAATTTCCTCTCAACAACTTTACAACTACTATTTATTGTTTTCTTTACTGTTCATTTAATGACTTTGTCGTCCCCACCACCACGGCTGAAGCTCTCACCAATGTCCTCCTCAGTCACTGAATCTTCTGCCTGTAAATATGTTCATTTCACTATGAAATGTATTTCTGCCAATAAAGTGTGCCCTTTGCTATTCAAAGTACGGTCATCTAATGCGGCGAAAGACTACTGAGTGGATGACCAAGAACAGTGCCACTGCAGTCACACGCACATACTGCCTCCACTTACCAGTTCCTGCATTGCGTCCCTGATTAATTGCATTACACTGGCAATTGATTGGCTAATTGGAGCATGAACAGTATGCCAAGTGCACAGGACACAGCACTTGCCTTTAGGTGCTCCACTGCATTCCCAATGGGCACACTGTACTGTTCGCCTGTTGCTCTGCTGCCCACTCCGCTCATTACTTAATTTTCCACTAACTCGAGGCATTAAACTGCACTATTGCTTGCAGCGTACCTGCCGCCCTAACGGATGACAGTTGTTCAGCGTTGCCGTTCAGGTGTCAAAGTGCTACTGGTGGCTGATCGATTATGACCGATCATTACTGGGCAAATTATATACTTAGTAGCATGAGCGGTTTGTTTAGTAAATGATACCTCATGTTTTGCGGTTGGACAAAAACAACGAGTAATCCTTATATCATGCAAATTCTTGCTGACAAATTAATTGTTTTTTGCTCTGTTTTTGCTGCATTTACAGGTAATTGAAGAGGAGCCTTTATTTTTGTTTAACGTTTACAGACTATTCAAAAAAGAAACACTTCCGTGCTAATGACACAATGGATTTTTGTGAACATGTTTATTGAGAACGGGCATTTATAAAGAGATCAAATCTTTGGGCGGTTACATCTTTCTACCTTTTGTATTGTAGACATCTAATGAATTTTCGTCCTCTTCAGGTTTGCCGATGCCCGGGTCGTCAGAGAGAACGCCACCAAAAGCCCAATTGTCTTCGTGTTCAGCCAAGTATGACGGCTTTTGAAGTGAATCTAAGCAGTATAATAAGATTAAAACATAATTAATTTAAATATGGTACACTTACAATCTTGGCTCGAGTAGTAGTCATTATCTTGCAACTGTTTCTTACTTATGAGGTGACTTTGAAGGTACTGTCGCATCAGAGTTTCAATGTCAAGATGTTGTCTCAAATTGTCTGGATACCCCGAAAGTAAATACTTTGGATAACTGTTTCCCTTTTTAGTTGGGTATTTCAACTGCTCTTCTTCAACTGTGACGTAGACGTCAATGGTTGATGGCGAGTGGTCATCGTAAGTGTAGAAAGGAGTCATTTTTACGGTGCTCGCAAGCAGGCACACTGCGCTTACCAGAGAATAGAGCAGCATTGTGGAGGACACTTCTCTGAACTTTGACAGCAAGTTGCGCAAATGCATCTGGTCAAGGATGTGATCAAAGTGAGAAACATTTTATATAAGCAGACAGGAAAGCAAGTGGACGCTGCCAATGACTCACTCACTCACTGGCTGATGATCACTACGAGGAAGAAGAGTTCACCGTCTTTTACGATGTAAATCATAACCGCATGCGTGTGGCCAGTGGACATTCAGTGTATGTGCGCACTGTGGTCAAATGTTCAGAGAAAGCAATGATGAGGGCATCTGAAGCAGTTTGGTTCTGCTGAAAGGCAGTTCTCCGAATGCCAAAGTCTAAAGTGACACCGTTTAAACTTTCACTCTTTACAACCCGAGTTCTTCTGACTGGAGTCCATTGTTTGTTGCATGACAATACAAAGGCGCTGGTTACTTTCTGGTCTTCTGGCAAACTCTCTAACTCGACTATATAAGCCGGACAGATTTACTGGTCAGGACATCATCAGTGTTCAGCTCATACTTTCGATATCACCCACTCACTAGATATTTTGCAGTCAACGATGCAGCCCTCGACGTTTGCAGTACTTCTGCTAGTCTTCTTCGCCGCCACCGCCATTGCCTTTCCCAGTCATGGCTACAGCAAGAGTGGTCGTCATGGAGGCGGCGGATATGGGTCCTTTCCCTGGTACGGAGGCGGCGGCGGCGGCGGCGGTGGCCACGGATCCTACAAGTCGTACATCGCCATCGCCGACAAGTACCTCGACCACAATGATGGCCAGCGCTGTAAGTAGCTCACTGTTTACTGTGCACTGTTGACTGTACTCTCACCAAAGTCGGACATTAACTTGATGAACTCTTCATCTTTCTACCATCTTAGACATCTCACAGGACTACGGCTACGGGGGCCAGGACAACAGTGGCTACGACAACGGCTACGACAATCGAGGTGGAGGAGGAGGCTCGCATGGAGACTACGGATATGGCACACATCAGGAGCCAGTCCTCTACAAAAAGTAGCTTCAGAAGAGTGCAACGCACTTCGGAAGAACACTAGGTGTCATTTATTTATTTATTTATTCCCCCATACTATAACATTTAAATACAATAAAAACCAATTGAAACAGATCTTCTCCAGAGTGGACAAAGAATGGCAGGTGAATAGCCGCCTTTGCTGATTTGCTCACTTCTTTGGCTTCATTTGTGAAGAGGTGGCCTTCTTAGCGCCGACAGCACCGCTGGGAGTGCTAAGCTGCGACGAAGCGTTGTCGCCCTTTGAAGCAACGGACACCGGAATGCGAGACTGAGGAACCAGCTGACTGCTGGCCACACGGGTACTGCCCAGCGTAGACTGCTGATACTTGGCTGGCTGCGTGTTGGCGTTCTCCTGGCCCTTCGAGTGGCTGTACTTCTCGCCATGCCAGAAGCGAAAGATCTTCAGGAACATCACCACCATAGATAAGGCGGTCATTCCTAGCGGAACAAAGAGCGAAAACTTGGAGATCGGATAAAAGTCTTGATCCGCTGGCCAGACGCGCTCCATTGTGCTGAAGAGCTGGAGATCAGAAAAAGGAAAGTGAGAAGGGCGATCAAAAGAGAACAGTACTGAATGATTGGTTGACTGGTGAAATCAGTCGAGTCAGCATAAAAGATTTAGAAAGTTCGGTTTTTTACTACTCCCGGCCTCTGTTGCCTGTTTGTTCAACTTTTCGTTTTCATAAACAATGAAGATATTTTGTTTATAATTTGAGAACATCACCATGAAATTCATATGAAATCATTTCTCAACATGACGCAAATATTTACTTTGAAAATGATTGAATCTACGTTTTCTACCTTTGACAAACATCCGCATCATAACGGGACGACCAACTTTAAAGCAACAGCTGACGACTTTGATGATTTGAGAACAATGTTGGTTGCCAGCGGTCAAGGTCATCCAGGTGTGATTGTGCCAGCCACTATCTCCGGACTTCTTCTCTGCCTTGTTCTTTTCTTCTTCTCCTATGAATACTTTCAAACGAGATTACAACCAGCGCAACCACAGGAAGATACAATCCTAATCCTCTGCAACGAAAATGACGCCGCCTACGAGTACCTAATGGTTCTTCGCGTTGGCTGCCCAACATCTTCATTCGACAAAAAGACATTTATCGACTGTGAGATTCTGGGCAAAAATGACATTTTGATGGGCTACACAGTTCGGTTTGCCTGTGCCCTCTTGGGAGATCCCTTTTGCAGTGAGTTGCACATCTTTATCGGCAGCTTGACACCGATGGAGATTAACTCTATCGCCATGAACCACGGCAGTAGACACGGCAGCATCTTTCTCTTCGACTATTTACTCCGAGATCTCTCTGATGACAGCGTCATTGAAATTGTCTCCTTCAATACCTACCTCACCGACCAGAAGGTCGTCTACCGTGGGCAACCGTGGAATGACAGTGAAGACGACTACATTCCGGAGATTCCTGTTCTCGAGTTGGCCCTCTCCGAGACGGTGCTCATCTCCGCCTTTCTTGTGTTTGCCAGCGGCGGTGCTGTGGTTCTTGTGGAGCACTTCAACCTCTACATAGGCGTTTCTCTTAGCAAGGAAGACGGTTCACTGTTTCGCTCGCTGCTGGACATTCTCTACATTGCACCTCTCGCTCTCAGCCTACTCTCTGCCGTGGTCATGTCGTACAAATACTACTTCAAACTGTATTTATTAACACTTTAGATACTCTTTTTCAACACTAATATACATTTTCTTTCACCAGGAACCTACTTCGATGCGAGTACTCAGTAAGCCAAAAACAACTAAACATGTGGCGAAACCACCTTAAACTGTACAAACTGGTATTGCTGGCTTTGTCCATCTGCCTGGCAGCAATTACTATCTACTACAGCGCTGGATCGTCCTTCACCAGATCTCTGTACTGGTATAGCACTACACTGGTGTTGGCAATCATCATTGTGGGAACGTGGCTCGTTTGCAACAGCTCCAACTGGTTGATATCACACTTTGACAATGGTTTGACTGCCAAATCAGAAAGGTACAAAAGAGGATTACTGTCGAGTACTAAAGACCGCAGCAGCTCGAATGCTCCCAAGAACCACTATTTGCGAAAATCTGACGTCCCCACCGGAAAAACGATTTTATTTCCTAAAAAAGGCAAAAGTAAAAAGGACAATAAGACAGGCAAAACAAGTAGAGGAGCAGTTTCCGGCCCTGTACTGTTCAATCCAAAGATGGTTTGCAAGAGGAAGAATGCGAAAAAAGGTGGTGGCAAGTTGTTAGCGCGAAAGAAGCTAAAGGAGCTGTCTTCAAAAAGGTTGGCCACTCCAAGCAGCAAGAAAAAGAAGAGGACCTACCAAGGCATTAGTAAGTCGTCGAAGAAACATAAGAAAGCTTCCTCAAAGAAATCTAAAAAGACTAATTTAAAGTCGACCAAGACAAAGACGATGAGCAGTAAGAAGAAGAAGCGTAGCGGAAAGACGCCCACTAAATCTCGCCGAAGTGGTCGACGCATTACTTAATAAACAGCTTCTAACACAACTTCAGTAGGAATTCAGTCAATTGCAGCATTCATTCGGTACTCTGTTGATGCATTGCATTCCTCAAAGAGCAACCGCACTGTCTGCTGATGATTGCACTAGGCACAGGTACATCGGCGCAGCAGTGTACGGCACAAAAAGAAAAAGACACTTTTGTTTTCTACCTTCCTACCTTTTAGCCAAGTCTTGTCTTCGCTTGGCTAGTCTTGTGCAGCACTCTGTGTGTCTCCCTTCAGGCCATCATCACCATCTTCAGCACTTTCATAGGTTCTTTTGTGGCAAATCATCTGATCACGTAATACACTAATGTCGATGTTTGCGTGTGGTCGTCGGTGGGCTTCCATTGTTTTAGAAACACTAATTATATTATTGTCTGTAGAGCATTCAGGTGAATCGACAAATTTTCTCAAGGCGAGCATCTCTTAAGTAGTGCCTTCACTGGGCAGCCACTTAGTCACCAGGACTGCTCACTTCGGCGAAGACATCATCGAGCTCATTCAACATGAAGTCACCGTCGCTTTTACTCCTCATTGGAGCCCTGTTTGTGGCTACAGTTTGGGGGCAAACTAGAAGAACCACTCGCCACTACCGACACAGCAGTGCCGAGCTGGCGCTCACCAATGAAGTGCTCATTGACCAGGCCGACTGTGGCCCAGAGGAGACGGCCATTTTTGTGCACAGCGCTGCCACCTCTTCGGGCACCTACCATGAACGGCGAATGGTGTGGTCTTCTTTCTTTCTATAAAACTCAATGTTATAATCAAATTCTCATTTTCACACAGGTGATTCGAAGAACCTGGGCGCAGGAGGCGACTGCCAATCAGATGCGCGTCATCTTTGTCCTTGGACGGCCACGCAGTGAGTCGCCCACTGAACAGGCCAAGTTGAAGGCAGAGGGGGACAAGTACAATGACATTATGCAGTTTGGTTTTGAGGTACAGTTTTTTTCTGAAAATATTAATTATAAGAAATCTTCATCTTTACATGTTTTATCACCAAACTCTGCAGGATTCGTACTACAATTTAACGCTCAAGGTGATCGGTGAGTTAAAGTGGGCAGAGAGGCACTGCAACAGCAGTCGGTACATCGTCAAGGCTGACGATGATGCCATTCTCAATGTGAGAATGCTCAGTCAGCTGGTGCAAAACTCCAAGATTCCATCGGGTTTCACCGGCATGAGTTATCACACACCGGCGTACCGTCGACCGGGCTACAAGTGGTACATGCCCCAGCGCTTCTACACCCAGAACAGCTACCAGTTTCTCCTTGGCTTCAGTTACATTCTCTCTACCGACAAGGTGACGCCTTTGCTGGAGACGCTGGCCGCCTACACTGAACCGGTTCTCGACATCGACGACGTCTTTGTAACAGGCGTGCTCGCAGACAGAGCGAAGATCAAGCGGCATAATAGCTCTCGCTTTCGCTTCTACTGCGGTCTGGACAGCTGCGTTCTGGAGACCAGTCTGGCCGTCACCTGCAGTGATGGCCGCCTCACCGAGCGAATGTACCAGTCCTGGAAGAACGCTAACATTGAACGATGCTATGCAAACTATGGCTTTGCTAGAGACTCTACATTTGTTCCAAGAGGCTTCTAGACTAAGACACATTCAAGTTGAAAGCAAAAGTGTTTTGAGATTAATAAAAGCAGCTATTTATTGGTTGGCTGACTGACAGAGTTTCATGATGATTGAGAATTTAAAAAGAAAAGAAATGAAAAATTTACATCGGTAAAATAAAGTACAAAGTTAAATGCTTGAGCGAGGATTAAAATCTTTCACAGTTTCGCCCAAAAGCGACAACTCGTCTTCGGTGTATTCAGGCTGAACTTCTTTGGGCAGCTCTGGAACATTACAGAGGACAGTTTCAGTTACAATAGGTGAAGTAGTGTTGTTGAACTGCAAAGAAAGAGTGTAGCTGTTTATTGTAGTTGTTTTATTAGCAAGTCTAGATAAAAAAAACCAACCAGAAAACGTGGAGAGTCCAGTGGTGGAGGAGCCGAGGGCAGAAGACGCCATTGAACACTAACTTCGTAATTGGTACGATTGAACTCTTCCATCTGTTCTTCATTCATAATCTCTGTAAATAGTTCAACAGTTTTGAATGAACTTGGACGCACAATTCCGCTTCGAGGCAAACATCGAATCACTTTATCTCCGTGCTCGTTGAAGGAACTGTCGACCATGAAAACAATGTACTCATGAATGAACATATTTGTCACATTTATGCTGCCTCGCATGTCGTCTTTAGTTCCTGCAAAAGGAAAATGTGAATTAGAACTTGTTTTTTATGTTAGGAGAGTAGTTTCGGACCATCAAAGTATACGACTGCCGGAGGATTTAGCATCACAAATTTAACCATGATGAAATTTAGAGATGAGCTTGTTTGGGCGATGAATGCTTTAAAATGATGCACTGGCAGATCTCCATGCTCTTTTGAAGTATTTATTGAGCTGATTGCTCATAATGTGTAATCGTTCATGTACAAAAGCGCCACAGAACGATAGATTTACTAAAGGTCACGGCTGCGCTGTTTTGATATATTATTGATGATTATACAAATGTCAACATTTTTGATTTTTAAAATGATAAACAAAAAATTCAACTAGTTTATAAAATTGTTTGAATGTGTGTTTTTGTAAAAATCATGCATAGTTTAAAAAATTGCGATTTTATGAGATTATTTTTTGTACAATTACTAAAAACTATTATAATAACTTAGTGTTAAAACATGCATTTATTTTTCCTGCGTGTTTTGAAAAACGATGGTAGCTGGGAGGTTTTTAATTGTCAAGTTTTTCTGCTCATTTGAATCTGCTCATTTTGTTGCACAGTGCCTATTTTTCTTCCCTCATTCTGGTCTTTTATCCGTGTCGGACTAATTTAACTTGAAATGTAAAAGGTGACCCAAAGAGAGATAAAGAATCGTATAGGCCCAGTACTGAATTGATTTTTTTAACTGATGGAATTCGTTTAAACCTGCATTCTTATATTTCATCTTGTTTTAAAAAAAGTAAACGAATTTTATTGCAGAGAGTAGCAAATATTTTAGTGTTTTTTGTCAAAACAAGTTAATTAGAGATATCCTGAATCCAAATGCACACAGGAGCGGCGCACTGTGTTAAATATTTGAACTATTAAAAATATAATACGATTTGAGTTTACAACTTTCTGACAAATTGTTTATTTGTGTTACTTAATGAACTGATAATGTTTGACAAACAGATAAACCAATTTTGCTAAAAAGTTTAAATTATGGCAAGCTCAACTTAGACTTAATTTGTTCATCGCTTTTTGAACAGAATTTATATTTTCTATTTCTTTTTTCTTTGATTCTTGTTCCATTTTCTTTTTCTTTCTTTGTTCTTCAATCCAAAGAATGCAGCTCATTCCTAGAAAAATGCATTTTTCACAAAGATCATCGCGATGACTTTTTCTTTTAACTTCGTTGTTTTTTGACATTTTCAGTTTATGTTGTCTAAACGGGTACACCATGTCTCCTTTGCAATGGTTGCATTGTTGGCCAATGTTAGCCCACGAATTGGCAGAAAACCAAAGTTGAGAACACTTTGGACATTTGAAATGCCCAAAGCAACGCCTTATCCCTTGATATGGAGTTTTCTTTTGGGTTTTAGCTAAAACACAAATAGTTTAAAAATTGCAGTAAAACATTAACTTTACATACTTTCAGAAGACATTTTTTCAGTTGTAACTGGTAATTCCAAAGAAAAACACGACAGTAATCATTACATTGGGAAAACAAATCCTTTTAAGTGCGCATCAAAAACTGTTGCGTAGATAATACAAATAATTTTGACAGACAGTAGCCATTGACGACTAAAAAAGAGAAATAGACTAGAAAAATCCAATGTACAAGCAAGAATGCAAGATATCTGGAAACAATCATAAACTACATTTGCAGATGGCATTACTAGTATCGCATAATCTAAAAAACAATTTTTAATAAGAGCAAAACTCCTACTTTTATTAATAGATTAAACAAAAATCAATTTTTTATTAACATAAAATCATTTTTTAGGGAAGAAGGATTTTAGAAATTTTAATAAAATATTATAAAAAGTTTTATTTATTTGTTTTAATTTTTATCTTGCAATTTTTTCATATTTAAAATTACAGGTTGATTATGACATTCTTATGTTGAACTTTAATCAGCATTAAAAGGTTTTAGCAGTGCACTTGAGGCTGGTCACATCGAGAACGTTTCGCCAAGACTGGGAGAGAATGTGCGCCTGGCACACCTGAATACTGGCAAAGGCGTCGCACATGGCACGGTTTTCTTTGGTCACCTTTTCCTTCAGACACTGAGTGCTGGCAATCTCAAAGTCGATAAAGTACATGACACCAGAAACCACTTGTGATTCAGCAGAAAGGACCTTGATGATTTTGTGGTAGTATGGCGAGTTGATCTGAGCATTAATTTTTGTCTCCGCCTCAATGACCATCTCCATCAGGTGAGCATCGTGAACGTCCAGTTTGTGTCGGCCGCCAACAATGACCTCATAAGTTTCCAGTTGCTGTTTGGGTGAGCAGTGAAACTCTTCCGCGTGAATGTGGTGTAGCCACGGCTGAGAAAGAATCTTGGCATTGCAGATCTGCACATTCGTCACCTCAGTGCACTGCGCCACCGTCTCCTTGGTCACCTTTGACTTGAGACACTTGGTCATGCCGAATTCAAACTCAACGTGGTACATTACGCCGGCGACCACCTGCGACTGAGCAGAGAGAACCTTGACGATTTTGTGGTAGTACATTGAGTTAAGGCGGACGTTCAAGTCGTCCTGAACACTGCTCAGCACTTCCAACAGTTGGGGATTGTGGACGTCCATTGGCTGCAAACCTCCATCCTTGTGATCGACAGTTTTTGCGATGCACTTGAGGTGGCTTACATCAAAGACATTCAACCACGGTTGTGAGTGAATTTGAACTTCACAAACCTGAATGTTGGAGAAAGCGTCGCAAGTGGCACGGTTTTCCTTGGTCACCTTTTCCTTCAGACACTGGGTAGTGGCAATCTCAAAGTTAATAAAGTACATAACACCAGAAACCACTTGTGATTCAGCAGAGAGGACCTTGATAATTTTGTGGTAATACTGCGAGTTAAGTTGAGCGTTGATTTTGGTTTCTGCCTCAACAATTACTTCTTGCAAGTGAGCATCGTGAACATCCATTTTGTGCTTTCCACCAGGCATGGGAACGTCCTCGTAAAATTCGGCATTCTGTTTTGGTGAGCAATGGAACTCTTCAGTGCGAACCAGATTTAACCAGGGCTGAGAGAGAATTTTTACATGGCAAATCTGGACATTAGAAGCTTCAGTGCATCGGGCACGTGTTTCCTTGGTCACTTTTGATTTAAGACATTGAGTTTGAGCAAATTCAAAATCCACGTGATAGAGAACACCTGCAACCACCTGAGACTGGGCTGAAATGACTTTGACAATTTTGTGGTAGTACATCGAGTTAAGACGGGCATTCAAGTCATCCTGAACGTGCTCCAGTGCATCTATCAGCTGAGGATTGTTTACGTCAATTGAGTGACGACCGCCAGGAAGAAGGCTAGAAGGGAAAGCCGATGCCAAAGCAAAGAGTGCAGTGAAAAGAATAATAAACTTCATTTTTGATTGGTTAGCTTTTGTCAAGTTTGAAACTTTAGTTTGGTTGACTTGTTCATTTGCTGTCGCAGCTTTGAGTTTATATAGTCCAGAACTTTAAAACTTGATTTTGATCATCACCCAATGTAAGCAGTTAAGATTTCTCTCCCTTTGAGTACTGATAGAACAACAGTAGACAGGTAAAAGATTAAACGTTGCAGTTGATAAGTCGTCTTGTGGTTGAGGGATCGCGGCGATGTCTAGAAACATCGACATTTGTAAAAAGAAAGCTTAGTGTGTGGAGCTGCAGTGTTGGCCTTTCTCACCACCACCACCATCACCACTACCACTCGTAGCGTTGCAGTGACCATCTTTGATGCCTCTCACCTGTTGGTGCAAATCAAACTAGGAGACTCCTATCACCTCCACCATCAAGTGCACATTACAACACCAGTTGGCAGTTGCCATCCAGTCGATGGTACCTGATTGGTAGCAATATCACTGTAGGCTCCTTCACCAGACAGCTATTGTTTTGTCCACTGCAATTTACAGCGGTTTTAGATTAATTGATAGCCTTTACCTGGTCTAAAAATACACACATCAAAAGTTTCTGTACACTTACAGTAAAGCAGAGTACATTAGACTGAGGAAGACTTTGTTAGAACATGTAAAATAGTGTTTTGCGCAGCATTACTCAAGACCGCCCAGCGCAAAGGCTTGGGAAATGAAGAGAGTGTATTTGTTTAATCAGTGCACTTTGTCCGCTCTTTATCTGATAGTGGATAATTTGTTTTTGTATTGTACTAAACAACAAGTTGTTGATTAATTGCTGATTTGGGTTGCAACATCATTTAGTGTCGCGACAAATTAACTGTACTACAGCTATAAACTGATTTTTCTACGTGAGACAAAAATTTCACTTTTCGTAACGCGAAAAATGTTATCAACACTAAATGTTAAAATGTGAGCATTTCTGATGAGTATTTTAGA